AAAAAAAAAAAAAGAAATATCACAGGGGGCAGGGAGAAAAAAAGAAAAAAAAATCACAGAAAAATCACTTTAGAAAAGCTGGTTATATGAAAGGGTAAGAAAAATGCAGTTTTAAAATCCTGTATGGATTAAAAAATAAATGTGTACAGGAAATTTGGCTTGGACAGAAGAATTAAGATTAGATTAAAAGAAATCATTCCAGTTCCTTTCCTTCCCTTCTATAATCTTTATGCCTATATTGTCTTTAGCGATTTTTTTCTAATTGAAAATGAACTTTTCCCTCATACTATACCGTTTCTTTTTTTCACTATTGCAAATTCCACTATGGTAGCATTTAACAAGTAACATTTATCAGTAAACAAAGTGCCTTTATACACATACTGGGGTCAAGTTTCAATATCCCTTAAAGCTCTCCTCAACATTTCATACTACATGAAGGTATGGTAAGTACTATGCAATGCAGTCAAGTTAGAAGAAAGATAAATGTAGAATCAAATTATATGTCCTTGGTACAATAAATCTTCATTAAGTTCCTTATCAAGCATGCCATCTGAAATACTTCAAATTTGCTCATAGAAAAATAAGACTTGAAAGGTCTCTAAAGGGTCATGGTTACATTTTCAGGAAAGACTAAGCAAAATCAAGGCAGACCATTATCTACCTTTATTCTTAAAAATATTCAGTCTATGGCCTCTCCTACGATAGAATCAATTCAAATGCCTACTCTAAATTTCTCTTGATGCAATTTAAATCCTTTTTATGGGTAACTGAATTCTCACAGACATAATCCCATCTTTAAGTCTTCTCAAATGTAAGATTTTACACTGCATATTCTTTAGCTTTTCTTAAATTGTTCAAATCTAACTTCTCTGTGGCATTTTTCTTAAAATTTAAACAATTTATTACTGAAAACCAGAAATAAGTTGCCTTGAAATAGTTTTTCACAAATTATAAAAAAAAATTTGTGACCTAGAGAAACAGATACCATCACCAACACCTGTCCTACCCACCCTAACCATTGATTTTAAGCCAGAGAAAAATAAAGAACAGGGGGCCGGGTGAGGTGGCTCACGCTGGTAATCTCAGCACTTTGGGAGACTGAGGCAGGTAGATACCTGAGGTCAGAAGTTGGGAGACCAGCCTGCCCAACATGGAGAAACATCGTGTCTACTAAAAATACAAAATTAGCCGAGTGTCTCATCTCGAAAAAACACAAAAATAGACAATACATAAGTGAATGAACATGGCTGTGTTCCAATAAAACTTTATAAAAAGAAAAAAAATAAAGCAAAATAAAGAACAAACAATGAAATTAGAAAGTTTCAAGCCAAGGTAACTACCAACTTGTATCTTAAACGCTAGGATTTAAGATTATTTAAATTTGTTTTCTCATTTTTTCAAGAATAAATTTTTAAGATTATGGAAGTGGGATTCTTCCCATCCTCCCATCCATTCTCCTTTTAGTCTGCCTCAATGAAGATAAGTCTTCAAAGCTATAGGAAATGTGTAGAGTCAAGTACTCTAAAGGAAAACAGAGCATATATTTTAGTCTTTAAGTATAGTCCCTCGTTATCAGTAGGGGATGGGTTCCAGGACATCCTAGGGATACCAAAATCTGCAAATGTTCAAATTCCTGATATAAGATGGTGTAGTGTTCACATAATAACCTATGCACATACTCTTATGCTTTAAGTCACTTCTAGACTACTTACAATACTTAACATAATGAAAATACTATGAGAACAGTTCTTAAACTGTATTGTTTAGACAATAATGACCAAAAACATATGCGCATGTTTAGTACAGATGTAATTATTTTTTTCAAGCATTTTCCATCCACAGCTAGTTGAATCCACAAATGAGGAACCCACAGATATGGAGGGCCAAATGTATACAGTCAACTCAAGCAAAGACTAATACTTTTGTACATTTAAGTGAAAATCAAGTATACAAAAATGAGCAGGTACAAACTGTACTTCTCATTGTATTTAATAATGTTCTTACCAAGTAACTCATCAGAAAAACTAGATGACCTATAATTAGCTATACCATCCAACACAGTACATGAACGTGGTATAACTTCTTAGAAACCTAAATAATACCAAAGTGGATTATTTTTATTCACATATTTTTATCTTTCTTCCCATTCACAATTTCCATGTTTCCCAAGTTTAGCAGTTTCTTAGTACTCTTGGTGACTACCTATGATATAATTCTATCCCCAACTAATTCATGTCTTTATACGTTTTCTATAAAATGCTCCTGCTTGTAACATATAATAGAAAAACAGGTGTTATTTTGTTAGACTACTGATAATTAATAAAAATAGAACAAATATACAGTATTTTCTTGAAAGAAGTAATTTTCTTGAAAAAGTTTAAATAAGTTTTAAGAGCCATCAAGCGGTACTTTGGAAAAAATGTAATCATTAAAACACAGTTGTGCCATATAATGGAATTACATTTAAAGTAAAAGTACAAACATGACAGTAATAAAGTATAGCAGTCTAGAATTACCTTTCAAGAGCTGCTCTCCGTTTTTCTACAAATTCAGTGGATGATGAGTCTTCTTTACCCACTTTGACCTTGGTCATCCCTTTGAAGAAGTTGAATGAGATTCATGATGACTTTATATTGCTGTGAAAGTCTACTATAATCATTTCTTGACAATTTAAAATATACTCAAAATTTGAACTTAACAAACAAAGCCCTAAACTTGTAACTGGTATCTTATTTAAGAAGCAAAAACATTTTGAGGAATTAAATCTCATGATATGTTAACATCTTTACTTGGTAAATACTTAAAACATGAGAGATGTACAGAAGTTCTTGTAGAAAAAAAGAAAAAAAAAAAAAACATGAGAAAACAGATAAAATCTTTACAGTTTTCTGACCCATACTGCTTTTGTTTACAGAAAAGCTTACACCAAAAAGATCCCTTATCTGTTGTATTTTACACTCTGGGTAAATTAAAATGTGTTTCCAAACCAATATACATTATGGAATTTCAAATCAATAAGTTTAAGTTCAATTAACATTTTCATTTCTTATGAGCAATAATTAAAATTCTTTACTTTAGGATGACAAAAATAAAAGTAAATGTAATCCATGAATTTGTTATGTTTTCCC